GTTATTAGAAATAAATATCTGTTAGCTCTAGCTGCTCCTCATATTAACCAATAATAACAGGTTCATTTGCTACAATAGAAAAGAGTGGTACTCTTGAAAAGTTCCCATAATGTGAAAGAAAACAAGACAATTGCAAGAAAATATTTGCTGATAGCACAAAAGTGCAGTTAGAGTGTCAATCACATAACACTGCTCTAGATAAAAACACACAGTGTAATCAGAATCATAAAATGCTAAATGTATATCACAGGTATTAGTATGGCAAAGAAAGCAGCATAAACTCAATATATGTGTATAAATTTGGGTTGCCAAAAAGTGCAGGTGTATTTATGTTCTGTCTGTGTTTTAGGGAGCACCCTCCCACTTATCTTAAAACTCAGAAGACAGTTCCTCCTCAATCCAAAAAATCAGTCCATTTTGCATTGGTATACACTTAAACTTACAAAATTGCAGGCTTTGATGTACTGTCTGGAGAAGTTTTACTGAAGTAAGCTATGTCAGTAAGACAGTACATGTTATTAAGAGTATGCATTCATTTAGTGATTGTCTGCATAAAGGTGAGGTTCTCATGAGTTCTGTTTTAAAATGGAATAATAATAAATGCTTGAGCCACTGGCATAGCAGATATATTTCTGTAGGTTAAAAAAAAAGGGAGAAAATAAAAAGGGGATGTTTTTTTCTCTAACAGAGAGGAAAGGAAACCAGGCATCTTTCCCATGCTAAACATCCACATTCTCATTACCATGAATAACAGCCAAAACAGAGTAACATTCAGTAGCATTAGCAATGAGCTTCAGAATCAGAGAACCATTTGCCTCTGACTTAATTAGTTTCTTCTGTAAGAATTAAATTGCATTTTCCTCACAGAAGAATGTCTTTCTGAATTTTATTGCAGTCTGATATTAATATTCAAATCCAAGAACCCCTCTCAGGCACAGCAGAATGACTCCATTTATTTTACCATATGAAAACACAATGCAGCCCCCAAGTGTGTATTTTCAGTGGGAGAGTGGGAGGATGGCTGGCTATTTACAACTAAGCCAGAGAACAATATTGTAATACTATATTCCATAATTACATTAATGTTTAAGACAAACATAAAGGAAACATGCTAAGGTACAGCCTCTGGTGAAATGATTTACCTTTATTTTTGCCTCTTTACCTAGCTGAACAGCTCTGGCTCACTGGTAGAGTCAGGGCCATGCATTCAGGTGCATTCCTGAAGCATCCAAATCAGGAATACCATGAGGCCACAGTATGTGGGCACACCATGACCAAAAGACTGCAGGAGGCCCCGCAAGTCTGAAACAGTTGCATTTCTTCCCCATAAACTGCCACACAATGCCACTGTCTCCTCCCTGGCATGCAGTCTGACATACTTAGACTATTCCTCACACAACTTACTACTACTCAACAGTTCATAAAAAAAATAATTTGGGTAGGATTTTCCACATACTGAACATACTTATGAAACCTTCATGTCTGCAGTATTTGCCAACCCTTCTGCAGATTCTTCCATGATGCAAAACTGGTTTGGTGTACCTTCCTGTAAATTATTCTCTGGCTATTACAGCAGAATTGCATCTAGTGTGTTAAACTACCACATTGTCCTCATCAGTTCTCACCAAATATCTCTGCTATTTATTTTCAATAAATAGCCCTTCATGGTCAAATATATACAGATCAGGACTCAAGACTGAAACTGATTTCTCCAGAAATCAAGTCTCTAAAAGTGTCTGAATTGGTATATTCAAAGCCTCATTGTAGGCACATCAATGACTATTATTGACTGTTTTCCTGTTCTTCTGAAGAAATTAAAATATTTGAAACGTAATGACTACTCTTTCTCAAAACCATATTTTCAAGTAACCACAGAAAACAGAAACTATGTAAGAAAACAGAACAACACTGGTTCACATAATAAAGTTGTTATAACAAAATACTATCATCAACACATAAATCAAGATGGTTTGGACCTAATTTTCAGGATATATGGCTTCGAGCCAGGGAAAATCTGTCATTTAATGGTTGGCTGCCCACAGCACACACAAGTGAAATATACCAATGCTTCAGTATATTTGCTAAGTGCATGCACTGAAAAATCTGTTGGAACACTTTTATTTGAGAACGTGAATTACAAGTTTAATATAAGACCGACAAAGCAACAGCAAAACTGAAAACAAGGCTCTGTGACACGAGGCAGGCGAACTGGCAGACCTCCAGGGAATGGGCCAGATTTTGCAGTCCATAGACACCCAAGCCTTCAGCTGTCATTGCAAACTTTGGTTGTGAGGAAAAGAAGCAACAGCCCTCAGGAGCTATATTATGCATTGGATATAGTTGAGGTGGAGTCAACTTTCCTCCTAGCAGCTCTCATAGTGCTGTGCTTTGTAGTGGTAGCTGGAAAGGTGTTGGTAACACACCGATGTTTGGCTACTGCTGAGCAGTGCTCACAGCATCAGCACTGTTCCCCCTCACCAGTAGGCTGGGGTGGGCAAGATCTTGGGAGGGGATATAGCCAGGACAGCTGACCCAAACTGACCAAAGGGATATTTCATACCATGTGACATTTGCTCAACAATAAAAGTTAAGAAAAAGGAGGAAAAGGATGGGCATTCATTATGATATTTGTCTTCCAGAGCAACTGCTATGCATACTGAAGCCTTGCTTCCTGGGAAGTCAGTGGACATCACCTACTGATGGGAAGTAAAGAATAAATATTTTGTTTTCTTTTGCTTAAGTTAAATTGCCTTTATCTTAAGTCACAAGGCTTTTTCTGCCTTATTTTTTCCCTGCCCCAATTATTCAGCCAAGGAGAAGGGTAATAGAGAGGTTTGGTGGGCACCTGGCATCCAGACAACAGCACACAACACAACTGTCGATGCAGATGCTAGACAGAATCATTCACATTATCAGCTTGTCCAGTACCACCTCCAGAAGTAAAACACAGCATGATCTCAGAACAGTTACCCTCAAAGTAGGAGGATGAAAACCCATCACCTTTTTTGCTACAACACCTAATTTCTGCTGATACTCAGAAATGTTTGATGTGTAGGATAACAGAATGGAGTCTCAGTGCTTCAGTCAAACTGCCCTGATTCTAATAGGGTCAGCTAAATTTATTTATTAAATGCAAGTTGTACTCTGACATTAAGAAACCTGGAAGTAGTTTAGGGACTGCCTCTCTGTGAAAAACAGGTATAGTAGAAACCACTCAATGAGTATGTTGCTGCTGTCATAGTTTTCGTTTGAACTGAATCTTTGACTCAATTCAGGAATTCAACAGCTAGAAGACAAACTATATATTCACTGGAGTTATAGTTCTCAGTCTTTGAAAATGGAAAAGTGAAAAATGAATAAAGGTATTAGATGTTTCAAAAACTAAAAATAATTTTAAAAGGTATCATTAAAGAGAACTACCTTATTCCAGACCTTCTTTTGTTCAAAATCTTATGATTAATAATGAACAGCTTTGTGCCTTCTAGGAGTAGCCATTGTACTTTACCATTATCCATCACAATTACTTCTACTTTTTCTACCTTCAGAATGACTGACAAAATGTCCTACTACAGAAAATTCAACAAAGAGCTAGACTCCCACACTCCACTGTTTTCAGAAAGCGTAGAACTGAGGTAGGTACTTTCTGTTTCTCCAAGAAGGCTGGTATGTTACCGAATTGTTGGGTCATACTATATTTGGTCTATTTTCCCTTACAATAACATGTATTTGATATTTCTAAAGAGTAAAAAAGAATGACTGCTTTCCAGAGGTTAAATGGTAACATTCACAGGCTTGTTTTCCTAGCAGGAGACGGGGCATGGTAGCCATTTCAAAAGAAGCAGTTTGGGGAATATTGGAATCACTGGGTTTGGGAGGGACCTCAGGAGAGGTCTTTAGATCAACCTCAGGCTCAAAGTAGGGCCAAAACTCAACTAGTATTAGGTTGTTCAAAAAGGTACGAATTTTTAAATAAGCAAACAGTTTAATCTACTTGAGTACCATAAGCACTATTATATAATTGCTATAGCTGATGATTATTTCAAAGCATCACTACAGGGCAAAATTTAGGTTGTTTAATTTTTAACTGTGCATTCTCAGATCAAGACATTTCAGAGTTGCTTTTAGGTTTATCTGTAGTTCTGAATTCCCAAAGGTTTTATTATTTGCCTTGTAAATGTTTTCCATTCTTAAATTACTGGTACTTGTTCTTTTTATATAGAACTTACAAACAATATTTACTTGTAAGATTTGTGTATATTTATAGACACACACAAAAAGTAAAAGCATCAAAATTATAAATAATAATAAAATAAATAAGAAAAATTTAGGAAGATGAGGAGGTGTTTCATGTTAGAGTTGAAATATATGAATGTAACTGTAGCAGATTTATTCAGACTATACTACATCAGAGGTGTCAAATGTTCCCTGTTCACTAGTTGTCACTAAGGATCTAGAACCAGCCAAAAGAAGCCATTGGGCACAATAACTTCAGAGGAATTTAGACCGGATGACTCAGGCTCTTCACACCCACTGAACAGTGTAATGTTACGAGCATTAAATAGGGTATATGACAGTCTCTAAGATTTCTACTTAAGGAGACAATGTAGGGTTGGGGTTTTTTCATTGCAATTGTGAACTGAACTAAACCAAACTTTTGCTTATCATTACTTCCAACATGTAAAATGAAACTGTGATGAAAGTCTAAAAGACATTTTTCAGAACATTATTCTATCATTTGTTTTAAAAATTCATATGTTTACAAGTTATTAGTGTATTTAATGATCCAATGTGTTAAGTTTTCAGCAATACTTATAGGATGCAATTAAGCTTGCACTCAATTTTAATTTAAGTATGGCAGATTTATAACTTTTTAAAACTGTTTTCACTGTGCTGCCTGGTTAACTCATGAATTTGCTGAGGCTGCCATAGAAAATATTGATAAAAGTACTGTATTATTTTATTTATTCTAGTTTTTATTTCATGGATAGAATAAGTATTACCGTGAATTTCTTGTTGTAGTTATTTAAAGTTGTCTTCCTTTGACACGAATACTGAGATACCTTGCTTGCAATAAATGATGGCTCTTCTGATTCAGATGTATTCAAAGGAGGAGACTGATCTGGTTCCTAATAAGAAGATAAAAGGGGGAAAGGATGGGTGACATACCTGTCAAATAGCTTAAAATACAAAAAATACATTTCATGGGCCCAAAACATGTACTTTAAAACAAAAAGAGAAAAAGAATATGCCTCTACTATCTTCCTAGGTAAAATATTTAATTTTCCACTGACTGCACTGACAGTACTAGTTTGTCTGGTGATTATTGGTATTTTTCATTTTCCACAGTAAATTCTTGCAGGGAGTCTTCAATGGCACTATCCGAAAAAGAAAAGAAGGGGGAAAAGAAATAAGAGAGGGGAAGAAAAAAAGCCTCTCTACATGGCAAGCCTCACTACTGCTATTCTTATTATTGCAGTAAGACTGAAAATCTACAAAGCTTTAAGAGTGGATAAGCCTGAAAGAACAGTTTCCCCAGAAAAAACTAGATGATTCGATGTGAGAGATGTTAGACCAAGGGCAGTGAGGGAAGAAAGAGATGTTCAAAATATCCTGACTTTTTCAATCTGTGGCTATATTCAGTACTGGAGGAAAAATGTTTATGTGACGTTATAATAAACTTTTCCCTCCTCTTCCAGGTAATATGAAATAAAACTTTTTTTTTGTTTAAACTCATTAAATGTTCTATTCTGGGATCATTGTAAAGCAATGGAAACATTTATTAACAGCCATAGAAAAGTCATCTCCATCCTTCCATCCAACAGCCCCCGTTCACCTTTACAACGTGGTTTTCTCCTTCAGCCCTCTACATACACGCTGATCCAATTCAGACATTGTTTTCAGGTGTTCATTGGAATAAGGAAAAGGAGCCAGGTCCCAAACCTTAAGTGGGAGTTTCCCATGCACCAGGCTATGTGCATGCTTTTCGCCTAATTTTGCTCCATGAAAAATTGAGGAAGATCAACAAAAAAGTCAGTGGACTTCCAGGAAAAGTGCCCAAATCTGAATACTTTGGCAATACCCAAAGTGTTCTCAGCATTTCTGTGTATTTTTTGTATTTTGTCTGAAAACATTTGGCAGATCTGTCAAAAATGCATCGCACCACCCAAAAGCCGCAGGGAAATGTTTCAACAGAAAAAAAAAACAACAAAGAAATACGAAAAAAATTTTCAGCCCAATAATGAAACGATGCACCCTTTCTCCCCTGTATCCAAAGATATGAAGACATAAAGCTAGCATCTGTGCCAGGCAAACCTGGCACACACACCCCACATATAATTTCCTGCTAAATTGCCTTTATATTTGATACAGGGTAGTTAAATAGTAGTACTCGGGCACATATACAAAAGGCATTTACTTGCACAGCTGACAGAGAAGTGAATTATATGGCAGTTTTCATAGTATAAACTGAAAGGAAGGAAGCTATTTTATGTGTAAGACCACTCTTGGGAATAACAAAAATGGGTTTCAGCCAGGATCAGCAACACAACTCATCCCCTTTTGTACACATTCATGAATTATACTTTGAAATTGATTTTAAATTATATAAACTGTGATTGATTACAGCTACTCTACTGCTTGAAATGACGGTGCCAGCTGCAAAGACTGAGAAGAAACAGAACATTACCAAATAGAATATATAACAAACTGCAATCTTCATTACAACATAGACACACAAATAGCAAGTGCCCTACTTGTAACATTACCTTCCATTGTGGATAAGAGCAAAATTCAGGCAGAAACTCTATGTGATTAACATGGTGATAGGTGCATAAACAACCTGTTCCTGCCTTAGCAAAGGTATCTGAGCGTTTTTCTTAATTGGTAATAGTTATGTTTTAAATAACAGAACTTCATTATGCATAACAACAGAAGAAACTTAGGCTAGAAGTCAGTAGCAAAAATATCTAGCAAACAGTATTTACCATAGTCTGGTTTTTAGGGAATACTATGATGCCTGCATGAGAACTACAGAGACAATCCTCTATCATCAGCAGAAAATAAGAACAGGATTGATACTGCTTTTTGTTGGGAAAAACAGATGGGATAAAATCATTTGTACAGATTACAGGAAAAATCAAGTTTCATCCAGTAGCAATTACAGCACAGAACAAGCAATCCTGGAAACTCACACTGCCTCAGAATAATTAGTAGTACTAGAAAGAAATAACCATGGATATGACAAAAATGTAAGCATTAAAACTCCTTTTCTTGCAGATAACTCCACTAAATTAAAATGAAATCACAGTACACAGCACAGGGGCAGCCACTGAAAACTATGCAAATTCATAGGCTACCTAACTGCTAGAGCTAGTCAGAGCTGCAGTAACAGTGAATATCACTGTCACTCCTTCACAGTGACATTTTCCACATGGCATAAGCAGGAAAATAAGCCTGTACCACTAGCATCAGTTTATAGAGAGCGGAGAGGCTTAGTTTCAGAAGTAATTTGTAGGGGGCTACTTTGCTCTTTGTCAAACTATTTTTTTTAATACACAAAAAAGTATAATGGCATAAGAGAATAAGAGAGAAAACGGAGGAGCAGTGAATAAGGTGCGCAGATGCTGGAGACTGTGTTAGGCCACATTACTCAACAGCCAGCAGCTTTGTGAAGTCCAGACAGCATTGAGCAAATAATAAAGTCTGCTGATATCCAGCATCTTATGAAGAGAAGGCAGACAGTTTATAAGTTTCATTTTATTCTCTGAGAAACTGACTGTCAGTGTGAAGGATTTCTTCTATTAGTTAGAGCCTCTCTCTTTCATGAGACAGAGTGAGACGTTCCAGAAAATGTTAAATATGAACTGCCTGTCACAGGATAAGGCAAGGGATCAGAAGATGTGGTATTTCCTTTTCTTAATGTGGGTGGAAATCCTTTGTTCAAGGAAATAAATCTCCCTTCCTTTCTAAAAAAATAACTAAGTAACTAAAAAAACAACTTTTGGGTTCTCACTGAGGAAAAAGCAGACGAGACACAGTTGCAGCACAGTTCCTAAGGCTGCTGAGAATGTCAGCCTACTGATGGTTCTCTTCCTTTCTGTTTATCCCTCTGGAAGCTTCCCCTCTGGTTCTTTCCTCTTCATTACCTAGGAAACAGCATTACTTTCGAGCATATGGGGACGCCCTTGCATAGGACATGGACTTATGTCCACATCCTATTATTATTCAGAATCCCCCCCTGCCTCTGGTGGAAAAGATGTCTCAGAACAAAGGTATTCCTTCACCAGAGAAACATTCTGTTTTTCCTTTAAAGTGAATGTTTGACTACCACATTTCCATAACCTATTAAATTAAAGGATGGCGATTAACTAGAAAAGTCAGCTGTTAATGAATGATTCAGTAAGAATTCAGGCTTAGATCTGGTCACCCAACCTTCCGTACTCTATAAATCACTAATGTCAGAGCATCTTGGATCATTCGCAACCACAGAAAGATGTATTTTAGTGACAACTGTAAATAATATGTTAGCTAACGATCTGTAACTCTGGCTTTATTCCGCTTATCTTGCATGGAGAAGGATATTTCTTTTAGTAATGCATTAAAACAAATGTCCTGAATTAAGAACAATCTTTCAAATAGGCTACTGTAAGATCTGAAATGAAATCTTACTGCTATTGTTATTAATGGGAATTTTAACACTAATCTACATCAGACAAGATTTCACCCGAAAAAATTCCCCCAGTGCAATCCATTCCTTCTACCTCAAAACCTTCATGATGTAGACTGATTTCAAGGTTTGTTAATTCACTTTCATTTCACATTTTACAAGACTGACATAATGAACCAAATTTGTCTTCAGTGAAACTCCAATTAAATTATATTACGTATGAGTTCAGTCTAGCACTTAAAAAGAAAATTAACCTTTGCTCGAATCCTTCCTCATTTCTCAAGGCAGAAAAAAAAAATAATTGTGGTGACACTAGAACAATAAAATAATTTTAAAATTTGCTGAACTTCTAGAATCATTTCTCTTCCTTCCTTGTTTGCTTTACAAAAATGTTTATTACTTTAGAGCCTCTATATAATTAAGACTGGTCTTAACTATAAGCTTTAAAGTTAATGGTACAGCTGTCACTGGCTTACTTATTGCACTCTACATTTATTAGCATGAAATCTTTGCGTTCCAATAAAAATAGCAGCTCTTACTTGCAGAGCCAGTCTCAAAGTATGATAATGATCTCCTAACAGTGCTGCTACCTTTTTTCAGAAGTTTCTGTTCCAGAAGTATTCCAAAAGGACTTTTATATATGAAAGAAAAACTAAAGTAAGTTCAGCTTGCAGTGGCCTTCTCATTGATTTAAAACAACAACAACAAAAACTTAGCTTCAGCATCATTGGGAGACATTTTGGAGAAAGACAAAGGCATTTCTTGCTTTGAAAAGAAAAATCTAATCTTCCTGAGATATCTGAATCTATAAGCCTTCATGTACTGCTGAAATTAAGAATGTACATAAAGGGTAATTTTGTTTACTTATAATCCTGACATGAAACTCTGAGCAAAGCTTACAGGATTTTGCTCACATTTTGAATTTACTTCTTGTTTAGAGAACTTCTTTGCATTCCTAGTATTCATATTTTTAAGACCTGCTTGCCTGTGAGATTATATAATGCAGTAGCTACGAGGTTTTCAGGTTTTTTTTTCTGTTTTGCATTAATTTCTTTGGTCTATTCTCCCTCCAGCAGATTCACTGAAAAACTTATAAATACACTGCAAAAATACTTCTTTGGAAAGATTGCAAATATAGACACATATTCTGTCATGGAATTATACTGAGTTTGAGAGCCACAGCTCCATCTGGTGTATCCACTCTTTTCCCCCTCAAAGTCTTATTAAACAGTAATTCTCATATGTAAAATCCTGGAAAAGAGTTCCTGGCAATGAAATAAGGCCAAAAAAATTAATCAGGATCTATATTTTTTTCTTGGGGAATGGTAATATTTACAAATCATCCTTTATAAACATCAGGATGAAGAACAGTGCAATATTGCTGTTAAATACTCAGGCATCCTCTGCCTCACAGGCAGGTACACGCTGCGGATCCTGCCATAGTCTCAGTGTTTACGGTTTTCCCAGTTACTGTTTTACAGTGGGGTCCCAGTTCACATGAAGACTAATCCAGATCCTCAGGAATCACCAGGAATCTTTCACTTTTATGCCAGAGAGTGTCCAATTAGACTTGCAGTTCTCCTGATGCACAAATTAATTTCTCCACCAGTGCACGTTAAACCCATCACAGTGATGCTTGGGTGCATGCAGAACGAGGGAGCAGGTTCATCCTGCTGCAGCGCAGGGTCTGTTTCATGGCCCATCCCCCAGAACGTCCTGTTGTCGCGCTGTGCACAGCATGTCCAGGCATCTCTGCCACAGCCGCACCATTTACAGTCTGTACTGGGTGTACTGAACACCAGTGTTCCATATCATGGTCCAGTTTAGAAACTAGTACATAATTTTGTCAGGTAAAGATCAGAAGAAATTATGTCATCATCCACTGTTTTAAGGTCAAACGCCATTCACCAGACAATCAGCCTGCCATTCACAGTATCTTCTGACTTAGAGCTCCCATTGGGAGACAACACAATATAATAAAACCTTTTTTTCTTAGCACAGTTTTGCTTGATGGTGCCAAGTTTGTAAATGCATGTCCACAGACTGCAGTAGCCTTCGTTTCACAGGCCCTTCAAGGGCCCAGCAGTTAGATGATCACTTCAAAACAATATAAAAATATTAAAACCTTTGCTGTTTGGAGGAGGCAAAGTAATCCATCAGGAGCCCATTAAAACTCACTGCTCTCAGTGGGACATTTACCATGATGTTGCGGTATTTCTAGAAATACCACAAGTACCACAACAGCAGCAAGTCCTTTACTGATGGATATTTCCCCTTTAATATCACCCCTGTTTTGTTACAGGAATGATGTGCATTGCCAGTTCATAACATGTGACAGCATAGTAACTTGGTATTACCAGATGTCAATATACAAGGTATGGAAGGTATCTTTGATATGTTAAAACTGTTTGAATTACACATGTTAACTTAAAGGAAAAAAAAAAGTTATGTAATCTTTTAATTTACAACTAACACAATTACATACGGTTTTAATTTAAAAAAATAATAATCACACACATTCATTTTGAATTTCACTGTATTAGCACTGAAGGACCTGTCTTACCATGAGACGATATTTCATTTCTGTATCAACTGGTCTTCCCGCTTCCATGCAGGCTGTGAACCATGAGATATCCAGTAGTTCAAATCTGGAGGTGTCACCCACAGCCTGTGCTCTCAGCCAGTCCAGCACCTCTAGGTAAGAGTTGTTCTCAGCCACAACATGAGTGACAGAATCACTGTCAAGAAGTACACAAAAGGAAATTTTCCTTTTTATTTTTTTCTTTCTGAACCCAGACACATACAGGCACAGAGCTGCTACCTCCATATTTACTTGCCATGCACTTCCTGAGAACTGTAGTTTATTTGTATATTAGGATGTGGTAAGTACTTGCATTTTCATATCACAGTTTATCTATTCCAGTCACTGAATTCGCTTTGAGGAAAGACTTAAGCCTGACAGCTCCTGCAAGTGCAGCATTTTCTTTTTTTCAGGATCATTTGCCATCCATAGGACACTATCTTATTACACATTTTTTTGCAACTCTGAAAATATTTGGCTTGCACAAGCAGTACCATAATGAAAAAGCTGCTTTACGATACCTGACAGCCCCTTCTCAATATTCCTGATAAATGAATGAAAGTTTTACCATATTTAAAAGTCAGATAACAATAATTCTTTAAAGCTTTACAGCTAGTAATATCTTTCTGTAAACTTAGCTTTTCTGTACTTACATTAAGCTCTTTACATTGTCAAATGTTCATGACTTAATCTTATGAATTATGTACTTCATCTTTCTTGCTACTAAGAGATCAGTCTCTCACAAAACTGATAGCTTAGTGAATATAAAACTTACAGATTGAGTTATCGTTCAAAAGCTCATATAGTGTACATTCCTCAAAAATACAGTAGCACAAGTGTTATTACACTAAATTTGGGCTGATGTACTAGAATACCACTGGAAAGAACCCCATGATAGTTCATGATTAAAAAGACACAGTTCCACACCTTCCATATGAAAATGAGGAGAGGGACAAAGCTACATTTCAACAAAAAATTACATACATGCTTAGGACGATTTGTAAATTTCTACTTGCCCCGCTGATGTTCCTCAGCAAGTTTAGAAAACTTCTAATTTGGTAGGAAATTTTTGAGTGATTCCTGGTGTTCCCCCTTCACCTACAAAGGCAACAGATAATGGAGGAAAATGAGTTGATTTTGGCATGTACTTTCATAAAATATGTAAGACCTCTATGTCTCTGAAATACATGCCAGAATCAACTGATACCAGTCACCAGATTCCTAAACTTCTTGAGGGATAGGCACAGATAGGGTCATTATTTGACTTAGCTTTAACAGAAATAAGCCTAGGTTTGGAACATAAATCATCCTGATGGCAGCCACCTCCACTTGCAAGCCTCCGTAACCTCCTGCTAGCCAGTGCTGGTAACAGACTTGTGCATATATAACAAATTTCAAACAGATCTGGCAGATTGCTCTGCTGCCTTTCTGTAACACCTGGAAAAGTTAAGCCATCAACCTGTCCAAGCAGATAGGACACCACTGGTAGGATAGCTAGTTAGTATGGACTTTAAAAAATAATATGGTCTAACTTAAAGGAGATTGCAAAATCTTTTGAAGCAAACTTCTGTCTAGGAGATCAACAAAACCCCTTGGCCTAGCCCTGTGACCCTGATTCATACTCATCACCACTAATTTCATTAAAATAGCATGACAAATACTGTTCACCCCATAGAAAACATTGCATAACTCTCCAACTCATTACATTTTGGAAACATAAGAAATGTATTGAATGTACTATACATCAGAAATATGAAAACTGTCATGGTATAGTACAATATTTTGCTCTCCAGATTTTGTAACTTGTAGAGCAGAGTCCATCAAAAAAAAATCCCAATTTATTTCCATCTAGAAGACTGCAAATCTAGGTTAGATGAATCTCCATGAAATACTGTTGGGTTTATTACCATCTGATCCTGCTAGGCCCTACTTTAATTAAACTGTCACATCTTGTGTAAAAAAAAAAAACCACACACACAAAAAAAAAGCAAACCAAAACAGTTAGAGACATAGAACTTCTGCTTCCTGTGGTTTATTTCACTTTATATAAAATATTCATATGTAATGTATTTGTACCAAGCTGCATATCTGGGAACTTTGCCATCACTACGCTCAGAGCAGCAGTTGAGCTGCTGTACACCAGTTTCCTCTGGTACCTGTACAGCTGTGGTTTTCACTTGCACGAAAAGTAACAAGTTTAGCATTTCCTCTGACATTTTCAAAAACAAATATCAACAGCTAAATAGTTTGGTTTATCCAGTAGCAGCTAAGGTGAACTTAAACATAACACTTGCCTTTCATACAACTGAAGTATTGTCAACTAATACCTTTGTGTTAAACCAACCCAGAAAAATCCTCTACTCAATCCTCAATGATTGTTAATGTAGGATTCAGAGGGGCTCAGTTAATTTTTGTACCCTGAGATTCAATTAGTTTTGTATCAGACGCTAATTACCTACTTCTGTTCAATACCTACTTGAATTTTTCTTTACAAATTACTTCATCCTCCCTTCTTCCTCATGCTTTCAAAACTGATGGGATTGAAAAGACTGAAAAATCTGTGGAAATGAGCTCTTATAGGGAGGACCCAGTTGCGCACTATCTGCATACAGATACAGAAAATGATGAATATTTGGTTTTCTTCCAGCTTTTCAGAGAACCTATATAATGATGCATCTTTCAGAAAACTGCATGATATAACTAGTACTCATGAAAAGACTGTTTGGAGGAAGGTTTCCTTCAAAATGAGTTGGTTTACTGAAACGCCACCAGAGAAATCTGCAGCTGGAGTATATTTTCACCCTGAATCGCTACATCCACGGTATTTTATTCCAAGGTTTTTTCCTACAGTGCTCTTTCAGGTTGTACCAAAGGGTAAGCCAGTAACTTTGAGACTCATATGAGTGTATTACTCACAGGAAGACTAAATATTACAATACTAGAGGTGTTCTAGAGAAATACCCCCCCTCAAGACATCATGTTTCCTGTATATGTAACTTTTTTCATTTCAGGAATTGGCCATTAAGTTTAGACTAATCTTAATGTGACTTCAAGGGGGAAATAAACAATGTCTGACTTAGATCAGCTAAAGATGTAATTCATTTATTCCAGTGAGACTACACAAATGCACAGAAATATAATCTGTGAAAAACATTTTCAAGTACACACTTCGAATATTCTATTTTCCAAGTGAGAAGCAGTACACTGAAAAATGCAGACACGTTAAAACTGACAGACTTAAGATAGATTAGAACTACAAATTTTAGAGGTAAAAAATTAGAAATTTTGCTTATGTTTATCTTCTCTGCCCAGTAGATAACAGAAATGAACCGCACTTTAGAAACACCCACTGAATCCTGAGCCATCTTTGTAATGGGAAGAGCCAAGTATATCCACTAAATATATTGTCAAAAGTTTAAGCAACAGTCACTTTTATGACTATATTTATTAAAATAAATGCTTGAAGCAGCACTGTTACATCTTATTTCTACACAAATAAACATTTTCCTACCTTAGCTCACTTTCTACTCTGAAACCTTTTCTTCTTGCCAGCTCCATCAAAAATGTCCTTCTGGTCATCCCCATCTTCCTCTGCATAATAAAAATTACAAACTTATTGAACTTGATTTCATAACTGCAGGGTAGTTTTGGGGAATGCATCATTTTCTGTTTCTTCCTCTGGGAGGATACTGCTGGAGCTCTAATCTTATCCATGACACAAGGCAGAGGTGTTTTGACTCTGGCAAAAAGGAGGCAACACACTTTCTGCCAGGCAGCAGCTGTATATAATGTCACCACCCATTGAAGTAATTTTCTTCTGTTTCCCCTCTGAAATCAAAAACAGGTGCTACACAAGCAGAGACATCACTTACTTTCTACCAGCTGGGACTTCTTGCACAGAACTACTTCAGACGGGTGCAAATATGCTTTCATTCCTTAAAACAGCCATCACCTATAACAACTTTATCCAAATAATATTGGTCATAGCAAAATTATCTGAAAATACCAGCCAGGTCTTCAGCTGGTTTAATGGCCCAATTCCATCAATTTCTACTTTCAAATGTTTTCTAAATTTCACTTTTCCCAGTTACAGGGTACGTGGATTTTCAATTTATTAAAAAAAAATGTTTTCTTCTACTGTTATCTAGGAATAATGTCTTAGAATACAACTAAAAAGTATGCAAATATGTTGTAGAATAGCCTATACATTTGCTACTTCTGTGTAATTAATTTGATTTAAAAGGGATATGGTGTTTTTAAAAGAGCAAACAAAAAATAAGCTTTTGAAATTAAATTTACAGTAAAAGAAATCCTTTGTTTCGATACTAATGAAATGAAAGACAAAGAGAAAGCATTAGAGATGTGTTTAAACATACTTTTGGCATTCATTGCCAACATTGCTTTCCACTATGTGCCTAGGAATGTACTGCTATCTGTGGCAGGTACAGAAGGGAAAAAGGAACTACCTTCCTGCTTTTAAGCATCCAGTGATATACAAACAACCACAGAGGAGATTATGGAGGCTAGTACTGTCCTCTCCTACAAGATGGTGTTTTGGTCAGAGAACTATGCTAAAATTTGTTACGTTAGCTATCCATTTCCATCAGAGAAAAGCGAGTGCAAACAACGTTTACAGCATGTGCATCTATTTCAGCACAAATCTACCCCAATGGTAAATATCCCAGTTTTCATGTCAAGTTGTATTTTTATTTTTAGTGTAGTAGAGAGTTTGGATTTTTACCAGTCCTTCAGAATGTGTCAGAAATATTTCATCTTGCAATTCTCATTGCTCGTGTTCAGGAGAGGAAGCAAGGTGAAAAAATCCTGCCTAAGTCAGATCTATCAATTTTATTTTCAGTCATTTTATTGCAGATGGATATACAACCTGAGTTACAGAAAAATGAGTCAAAATCTGTTTCCTGCAATTATGGTCATGAGTTTAAAATGAGATAATAAAAAACCTACTGACATTTTCCCAGCCCTATAGCTCTTGCTTTTTCAACTATATTATTATAGATATAAAGAAACAGTTTTAATCAGAATAGAAACTAACCATCAAAAAATAATAAAGAGCTTTCAGCTCTAGGGTCTTCCTGAGGCCAAGAAGAAAATATATACCTAGTTCAGTACACAGACGAGACTCCATTCATTTATTCCCTTGCCTAAGGATAACCCAGAAGCCAAAATATCTGTTCCTCTTTCTGATTCATAACATTGAAATATAAATAATTTCAAGGTTATCTTGAAATTATACAAGATATTTTCATAACAACTGGAAAGTAGACTAGCAGACTGAGGATTAAGCAAAAGCATAGCAGCAAGAAAAAAAAAATAATAGTGATGAGTTTGGCATTAAGAAATGCCAGAGAAATCTGGTTTTGTTGCTGCAAGTCTGTTTTCTAGACTACTGATGAGCCACTGAACACTGGCCATCTCCCTGTTTACAGCCTTTCTAGGCTTGGTAAAACACTTCATCTCAAGCTCTACAAGGAATAATGTATTTGAGAACAGATTCTTTACATATGTTAAACAAAGCCTTATTTTATGTTATAATTAATTCAGTGCTCTCAAACATGTAAATATAATTTCCCCTAGTGTAACATCAAGATGCTCAGTGCCAGTAAAATCCTTCTGGCATGAAAAACATAAGTTATTATTCCTTCATGTTACTGTAATAACTCTTGAGCCAGATTTTTGAGGGTATTTAGATGCCAAAAAGCTGCAAACAGAGGCCTAGTGGGATTTTCAAAATATCAGAGCAACCTGGGCACCCGGCTCCTTTGGAAATCAATTTCTGGCTTTGAACCTCATGCAAAGAGATTCTTCTCTATCTAGCAAACACAGTATAATATCTTGAAAAGGTCTCTGCCAATGATGCCATTTTATTAAACATACCTTCTAAAATTAACAGGATTTCCATATCCCAGATGAGTGAATAATCTACTCTCCTACAACATTACATTATAATATTTTTGACAGTAACACAGGAAATAGAATATGCATTAGGGAGAGAGCAAATATAGTGGAAAAAAGCATGTCTCTCATGGCAAAGGCAAAATATCCTCTTATCTGAGTCACCACACCACACATAATGCCTTACTCTCCACCACACATGATTAGTGGCCCAAAACCAGCAAAACTTTCAGAAGTTTTTCCATCTCAGTGCAGTCTCCTGGATTTCAGAGTAGTTCACATCCCTAGAGGGAAATCCAGAACAAATTTCCATGTTCTGATGTTCTTGCTGTGGATCAGTTTTGTGCACTATCAAAGACATGGATTAAGAACGAGATGTACACAAATGTTGATGAGCATTTAAAGAAAGGTCGTTCATCACTTGTGATGTCTGTGCCAAGAGCAGCATGCCAAGCAGTTCTCAAGCAGTGTGTAGTACAGAGCTCAGTCTGAAGCCCAGAGTATTGATCTGGCTTCCTGGGGAGGAAAAGTGCAGGAACGCACTATTTCTGGAAAGCATAGGTCAGGTCCTCTGAATTTTAGTATTCACACATGCTTTCACTGCACCATCATAATTATTGTCAGAAAGTCTTTTAGTGCCCTGCTTTCATGTGAACTGTGTTGTAAATATTTTATAAAATGTACTTGCCCATAGCTTTCCTGTGAAGAATGGAGTGAAAGGTGCTTTTAAATACACGACTGCAGTATGCTAACCTTCAGAGAAAGCATCTCAAGCAACATCAACAAAAACTAGAGAAGTGATTGTTTCAATACCTTTTTTGATTTTGCATAGGCTTAACAGCCTTACAGGTAGTATTGTTTCAAGAGGATTAATTTTTATTAGCTTTTTCATTTAAATGTTCTTGATAATTCAGCATTTTCTGATGAACAATTTAATGGAAATTTTAAAATCCTTCTGATATTTTTTCGGCCAGATATTACCACAATTTTGCTTTTGTTTAAATTCCAGCTTTCTTGGCTGTTAACCATTCCCTTTGCTGATGATACTTGGCCTACCAATCTCTCAATGCCTAAAAATAATAGGGCAGGTGTTTTTTCCTGACCTAGTAAAAATGTTGTGGAATACAGTAATTTTTTAAAAATTAAGTTAAACTTTTCTATATTTGTACCACTTAACCAGTGCACAAACCTGAACAATGCACATCTACAAAACCAGAAAATATTTAAGAGCCTTTTTGTGAAGTTTTTTTTCTCTTATAAACAAGTATAGGCTTTGTTTTCATCTTTTTATTTATATGTTTTATTTCAATCTTCCACTTCACTTGTCACCAGGGAGCTATATGGACTCATGAAGGCCTCGAGGTTCTGTCCTTAATTCAACATTATGTGGGAAGTTATCATTATTGTGCAGTAGGTAATTAACAATCTTAACAATAGCTTACAATTCCATGTGACAAAAAGCATCCGTACCTGGAATTCCTGAACATGGCTACCTGCATCAGCAAACCTTGTTTGAATACGTTTCATGAATCTATTCCTTGAGATGCTATCTTTTCCACATACAGTAATACATAAGTTCGTACAAAATGAGCATGGCAAATCAATCTGTCTAGCCTACAAAACAAAGAAACAGAACATCATGCTGTTACATTTGACTCCAGTGTTTTGAATAAACGTACTGTTAGTATAGATAAGGAAATGTTGAAAAACATATTCTGGAAATCTTTGGATACATTTAAAAATCAATTATCCCTCAACCTCCTCGGTGTTTATGTTCTTTGAACTACTAGAATATTTTCAGGGGGCAACTTAAAAGTATACGTGCTTGAGTTACATCAAAGATGATAAACTCCATAAAATACCCCCATGACCAAGAATTTCTAAAAGCCAATGAACTGATAATATGCTTTGAGTGTGCTTACTTGGCTGTAGCACATTATTTGGCATGTAAGATAAAGTACTCTTAGAGAGGACACAAAAATTTGTGGTTGCTATCATCAAATGTACATTTCTGACATATATGATTGGAGCAGCTGTTTACTACCTTTTTCTTTCCTCCTCACCCCAAGCTGAAAATGAAAACTTGAATAAAAGAATGTATTTAGCAACATATCTCAAAAACTGCCCATGTAAAAATCATACCAAGAGCTGACAGCTTCTTTAACTGATTTGACACGCAGAAGGGATTTGTTCCTCTAAGCCCTTTCTGAAGAAACTAGGGAAGAGCACCATCACAATGCTGAATAATTAAACAGAGCAATAAGGTTCCACCTTACAGCATGGGAAAACATAATTGGTGACAAAGTCTGGCAGGAGCTACTTCCTACACACATCAATATGCCTATATTCCCTGGAAACTATTATTTTCACTCTTCTTACAGTCTCTCTGTTCAGCAACAAGGCTTACAATTGCTCTCTTTGGCTACTCCACTAATGGTAGCTGCTGCTCTGTGTTGTGATTGTTATTGGACTGTTTTTTGATTTTCTTGTGCTCGTGCATCAATGCTTTTCTTTATATTGTAGTCTCATGAGAGCCTTGTGAACTTCTCAGCAACAAGCAAAGAGGGATTATCTGCATAATCCCATCAATATACATGGTCAGGCAGGTCCTTTGACAGTTATGCATCTCTTCCAAACACAGTTTACAAAGGTAGACGTCTCTGTATATTGAGCACCATTCATTTAGACTCTCACATTCATCTCATTGCCAGTATTAAGGACATTTTTGTTAATTAACAAATACTAAATAACCTTTCAGACATGAGGAGCTACACAAATAGTGTTCCATGGCCTATATTTAG